AAATGTTGATGAATCAGAACATCCTGCATCCTCTTGTACTGAAGGTATATATTAAAAAAACCCCCAGAAAATATATCAAAACTAGTTTCTTCACTTAGATCCGTGTTGTCATGGTGGTCTTATTCCTTTGAAGCGTGTATCCTTAAAGCCACATCAGAATCTTTGTTCTCAAATTACAGAAATATAACTGATGGATTTCAAAGAAAGCTTAGAAATAATGAAAATCTTGCAAAATATGCAAAGTAATAGGAAGAATAAGTGTCAAAATGAAGCATAAGAACAATATGAAAACTGTAGAATACAGTTTATGTTACTAGTATATAAGCATGGTTTATTTCATCAATAATCTTACAGCATTGAATGTTTTTTATGCAAATTTCAACCATGAATCAACTAATTCTCTGGGAATCTCCATTTTTAGTTTAAAAGAAAAAAAAAATAAACGCTAAAGCTAGTAGCACTGGAACTCTGAGAAAAGTTGTCTGAGAATAGTCTGAAATCTCAGAGTTTGTAGGAGAAATTAAGAGAGCCTCAAATACATTACTTTGCAAATATTGATGTTCAAGACGTCTGGGTTTTTTTTGTTTGTGGATTTTTCTTATTCTGAAAGATTAAGATTTCTGAACACAGAGTTGGCAAGATGCAAAGTATTTTAGAAGAAGACTGACATTTGAAAGGACCTTTGTATTTTCCAGAGGAAGAAGCAAACAGTTGAAATCTTCTGGGCAAGAGATTTTTCTTTAGAGCTTATTCAATCACATTAAAAGATAATTGCTGCTTCTCACTAATAACTATGAACCACTTGGAGGAGCATCACTGCCTCTGGAATACACAGGCAGTTCTGAAAACACTTGAACTCCAACACAGGAGGACTTGTATATCTAGGCACAGTCTTTTGCTTTTGCCATTTAACACTTAGGTCCTGCTTCTTCCTTTGGAGTCTGTGCAATATTACTGCATTTTGCAAAATAGAGTTCTCCCAAGTATGTGAAGTACCTTTCAGACAAGAGAGTGTTTTTTCCCAAGTGAAGTTCAGGTGCTGTAAAGCATGCAGTATAATTCTGCTTTGTGGCTTCACACTTGGTTGAATGCTGCAATACAGCTGCATCAGGTATTCTCAGTCATAGCTCTAAAATTTCATTTTCAAGGACTGGCTACATAGGTAGAGACTGTCCAAAGTTCACATGAGCTTTAAGTTATTGATAGTGTCAAGGCAATTTTATTGCAGCCAAGAGAAACTTCAGGCTGCCCTACTTTACTGTTTACCTCACAGTGACTGTAACAAGTCGCAGATGAAATTACCATGCTGGAGAGGTACCTTCCACAATGCAGTGGCAACCCACCCTTCTCTCTTTGAGGCCTATAAACCCTAATAATATTTTGTTTCATCTAACCTTATTTTATATGCAGAACTGTTCTTGCTCCATATAATATAAATTGGTAACATGAAAATAGTTGTTAAACTAAATATATGAAACTTTCATTTACCAGTCAGGTAAATCAAACAGGACACTTTTACTGTTCCTAAAAGTCGAATCCTTTTAATGAATTGGCTTCTGTTTCAGACATCATTCTGACATAAATGCACCCTAATAGCATATTCCAGGCTCTGAAGGCTCCTTTCTCTCCTTTTTTCTTTTATTTTCTCTTATGTCTGCTTTCATAAAAGAACAAGCTTACATTATTCGTATTTGTTTTTAAATTGTATTTACTCCAGAAAATTCACAGATTTATGAAAGACAGCTTAGAAAATAAGATACACAAAAGATAGGGTTTTGTGATGCAAAAGAATACTTCCACTTGAGTCTATACAGAATTATCTTTCCCTCTTCACAAGATTTAAATGAGTTTTATAAGAATACATTTACTTTACACATTTAACTACAGTGGCATTACAGAGTATATAATAAGACTTAATAAGCACTATTATGACAGTTTTAGTTCCTTATCTAATATAGCAGCAAATTTATATAATAATCCCTATGTTGGGAAGCTTGCTTGGAGACTGTTAGTCTCCTCCTGGTCTCAAGAAAATAGGCAAACAGCTCCTGTGTCACAGCACTATTCCTCAATCACTGGAATATACCCCTGTTCCCTTCTCTTGCTCTCCTGCCAGCCTTATGGCTCTGGCTAAGAGTTAAAGCAGAAAGCGTCAACCCTCTTTCAGAGTGCACTCTGGCCAGATGGTGAGGGTGCTCTCCCTGTCTCCACCAATAAAGACATGAGTGACATCACCAGCAAAACTCTGATCTTTCATGCCTTAATGCTCTGCAACTGGGCACTCGGGAACTCGAGGGAAAAGAAACATCTATTCAAAGTCAGGGCCTAAGTTCCAGAGAGGGCACAAATTCAGACACACCAAATATGCTTTGTGCACCAAAAAGTCCCTTGCTCACTAACAAGACTCTTCAGAAGTTAAAGGAACCCTCTCCTCTGGCTTTCACACAGACTGTCTCAGTAGGCTTGGATCCTGCCCCTGGCATTGATAACTTAGATTGCATTGGTTTATTTTAAACCTGTATCTTGTGGCTCAGATGGGTGAACACATTTTATATGCTTTCAATGATTAAAAATCCTAATTTGTTTTTCATCAATGCTCTCCTTTTTTATAATTTACAAAAATTACCAATAGCAATAACAACACGTGTTTTAATAAACAAGCAACATACTCTTTTTATGACATTTCTGAGCCTCTGCCTAACGCATGGAAACTTTTTGTATCTAAAGATTTTGGCTTGGGAGTTTCAGAGCTTCACATCACACATACTGAGAGTGGTATTCACAGATGCTGAATTTGGGAAAGAGTTCCTTTCATCAACTAGATACTGATTTAGTGAGGTGGCAATGACTAAAACATGGCTTCCTCCAGTTAACTTAATTCTGGACAAACTTCCACAATGTCTGACTTAATAGACTGCAAATCAAACAAATGCAGGAAGATGCAGCACAGTTCTTACTTTCACAAGCTATACAGAAAATCAGAAAGAAGAACACTTCACTTACCACATCTTTCACCTGTAAAAATAAACAGTGAAGAAAATAGTCCAGATCAGTCTCTGCAATTTCCTTATAACTGGGAGAAAACACCTGAACCTCAGCTGCCTATCAGCCTATGTTAGACAGACAGAGGAGGAAAGAACCCTGTATTTTCTGCCAACCACCAGGGAAGCAGGAATGAAACATAATCTTCTTGTGGAAGCAGGAGACAGAGGTATTCCCTATCATCCTCATATGAGTACTGAAGAAGTTGAACAGTTTCACATGACTGGCCTCGCAAATAGCATCTATTTCATTCCTGGAAATACTAAAGTTTCGAAATTTTTGTTTCTAAAAAAGTAATGACTTAATAAAATCAGCTAATTTTCAACTATTACTTTTCATTTATTTTTGGGGTTTTAGTTCTTTAATATCAAATATCATGATTTAGTGTAGTTTTATATAGGCACAAATTCACAGAGCACAGATCTCATACAAATATGTTGAAAATAAGTTTTATTTTGTTCACAATACAATCAGAACTGAAGATATATTTAGATTGTGTTTAATGCCTTGCCAAGGTATGTACCTGGCTACACATGAGCTTTCCCTATTATTCATCTGAAATCACTGTAGAAAAGCCCAGTCAAGAGAATTTATGGGCTACTTCAGGCAGAAATTTGGAAAAAAAGCATGTGTGGTATATTCATTAATCAATGAGAGTCATTTTTACGGTCTTGTTTTGTGCCAGATACTGAAATTAGATCTGTTTGGGGGAAATCTTCCAATTCAAAAGGAGCCCTACTGAAACTGCTTAAGTTCAGCCAACAGATTTCACTCATAACCTTTCATCCCATGACTTCTGGAAAGCCACAACTGTCATCAGAAATAACTTGCATTTGTGAAATTCCATGTTACTGAATGTTTCTCACTAAGCAAAGTCAGAGACGTATATGTATTTAAAGAGATCTAAAATGTAAATTTAATTTGTGTCTTCACGTCAGTCTCTGAACAGGCATTTTTCAATCTGATTTGAATCTTATAATTGCTAAAGAGTGAGTATAAGGTATTATATTCTGTAGTAATGCAAACAGAAAGTATAATAGGAAGGAGTCCTGCAGAGAACTATTAAAATGCCATGAATTTAATGAAAACCCTCCTTTGAAAGCTTGTGAAGAATTAGTTTCTTTTCATCTATGTGGCCACAAGTCAATAATAGGAATTTTAAAGTCAGTAACTTTGTAGATAATTGAAAATAAATAAAGATAGATTTACTACCAAAGAAAATTTAAAAAAATTAATTTGGCAAAAGCAATATACATCATGTTGATTTCAGCTGATGCCTGTGGTATAAATGTACTCACAGTATGTAGAACTCACAGTACCAGTCATTAAAGACTGAAACTGATGGGATCTGCACTACAAAGAAAACACATACTTAACTGTAGACACAAATTAGTTCTAAATATCTCCATAATGAAACCTGCTAAGCGTGCAGCAATATCTGCAAACTTCACTGTTTTGCTCAATATCATCTAACTTGAAATTCTTCTATGACATGGAGTTTTCTCGACCCTCAAATTAATTAGTTTGATCTCTACTTTTGTTTTTAATCTTCCCTAAACCTTCTGGTAGCAGCAAATTGCTTGTGGAGAGCACAGAATTGAATAAAACAGCTGGACTAAACTAACGTGTTGGAGGGAGGAAAAAAGCTTTGCAATTTATTAATGTATTCAAAAGACTGTTACAAAGTTTACAATTTAATTATTGGAAGATTATAGAACTGCTTCACTGCTTCTGTACTGTGTTAAATAAACTGTACGTGCAAGGAGTAATAAATGAAATTGTTAATTTCAGTGCATCCTTAGGGAATAGTAAGAGGGGGAGTTTACATTATTTAGAGCTCCAAATGGATTTGAGTTTATATACAGTAATAAATCTTAACTACATTGTTAATTAACCCTGCCTCAAGCCCCTTTTTGCCTTAGGAGTTGAAAGACACAGTGTCTGTTAGCATAACTCACCATTCATGTGCTTAAAGATGTTTAGGACTGGGAGAATTTGCCGATAATAGGGCACCAAGGCCTCCCCCACCATTTCAGCTGACACCACCAGGTGCTGGATGACTTTCAGTGTGGTGCAGAGGACCTGTCGGTTACGAAGGTTCAGTGCATCTGTGATGCAAAAAGAACAACAGGCAAAGCAGAATTAATTTCTAAAATGTAAAGGGAGGGGGAGGAGTCCTCTAATGGACAAATTTAATTAAACTATACTCTGTTGGGAATTGTAAGTGGGCCTTTATTAGCCCAGCTTAGAAAGATCCCAAAGATGGATTGCAGTCCTGATGTTATAAAACACTGCCTTGTCTGATTGTTATTTGTTCCCACAATTTGTGCTGACTCTTCAGTAACCCAAAGAATGCAGCTCATTATTCCCTCATGCTGCCTGTATAATACTGGCGTGGTCCAAACAAATGAAAAATAAATGTTCAGTAAGTACCACTTGGGGCCAATAGAACTATCCAACTGCAAGACAACCTGCAAAGGTTGACAACAGATGCATTCTAGTGCAACAATTGGTGTTTGTATGTTTGTACTCATTTATTTAATGATAATTTTATTCATTCAACTGACAATTCCTACTATTCTGAGAATCAGTACAATGAAGCAAATGTTTATAGAAAAAAAAAACCCAACAAACAAACCTTGTAGGCTTTTTCAAAAGAAAAACATTCTAGGGGGAAAAAAAAGGTTTTGTCTAGCCTACTTAGATGTTTCTCTTAGCTTTCAGTGTCATGCTTCTAATCTTATGACACTAAGACATTTCATAAAAACCTCTTGTTTCTTCTCCTTTAATTTTACTAAAAGCAAGTGCTTTGCATTCTTTCTTGTAATTAAAAATGAGACATTTGAAATACGTTTTTTTTTCCTTGCAAAATCCATGTATTTATAAAGGTGTTTCTGAAATTATGAAGCTGGATAAATTTGTCAGCAGTTGTCAGATTTGGTATGGTCTTATATATCGGTCTAATACTCCAGTATTCTGCCCAGTTACATAGACTTGTACATCATTGCATTGGGACAGAACTGAAAAAGATAAGCTCATAATCATTACTATGTTTTACAAACAGAGACATATTTAAATATGTGATTTGAGACACCATAACAAAGTGTAAGCATTTAGAAAAAAATTGTAGCAAAGAACAACAAAATTTGAAGAGGAGTTATTAGTAACTTCTTCAAGAACTGCCTCTTCAAGTGGAAGTATTAGGATCAAAGATATCTCTACTTATTGCAGAAGTGTTGAAGCTAGGTGATCTTTAAAGCCCCTTTGCAACCCAAACCACGATTCCGTGATTCTACAATTCTATGATTCAGTATTTCCTGTGCTGAGTTTTATCAGAGCACAGGAATGCCATTTCATAGGGAATGAAGTAGTATTTTCACAAAAGAGCAATGTCAGTTTTTCCATCTCTTTAAGCAAATGCATTGTACCCCAACCTGCTTCTGCTGCTTATCACATGCCTGCTGAGTGTTAAAAATCAGAGCTAGATATCCAAACCAAGGGCAGGGCAGATTGGTCGTGTGAATGGACAGAGACAATTCTAAAAATCAATTAATAAATAATCTCCTTTCATGCCTCTTGGCATTCTTGTGAACCACATACTGAACCTACTGCTATACAACAGAAAGTCCAAGGTATAAAGGTACTATTCATCAACCTCATCCAAGTTAAAGGAGTACTGCTAAATGAATATACAGACTGAACTCCATATTGCTTATTTTCTACAACAGTCCCTGCTGTAGGCATCAGGCTGCTCTTAATTTCACATTGTCTCTGAACATAATAATGTGTGGACAGGAAGCCCAACAATGCAGCATGGTCACGTTATATTCCAGCAAAGAGGCTGGCTATTCCAAATTATGCTTTTGTGGATGGATGTTCTAAGGCTTCTTTAGCAAAGAGAATCACCCAGATACAATTTTAAAGACTGGTACAAGTTTCAGGTAGGAAAATACTCTGTTAGAGAGTAACAGGCATTATTCAGTTTCATGGAAGAGTGGTTGGAAGAGAAAGTTTTGGGGTTCTATCATATAGATTTATTCACTACTAACTTGTCATACACGTAAATAATAGCTAACTGAACTAATAGGGAAATTATCACCAACACTGGCAAATTTCAGTGCAACAGTTATGTCATGCATACAAGCATGAATAAATATTTATATAAAATTTAATGAATTATTACAAATTAGTAAAATTAATTATTAATACATGCAAAATTAATTAAGTGATATAAAAATTAATCATTGACAGAAATCACCGCTTCTTAATTTTTAACAAATTGTACCCGCTCCCAGGAACAGTATTTCTAGACTGTAGAAGCTGTCCCAGACTATAAGAAACCCTATTTCTAAGCATGCAGAGTATGTCGTGTAAGTGGAAATGGCTGTCCAAATACTCCTAGGAAGAACTTTCGGATGGATCCCATCTGATGCTATAGACTTATCTCTGTCCAAGCGGAGCAGCAGGACAGAGGTACCTGACCATTTCTCCTTGGATTATGGTGGCTTCATCCTACTCCCCATCCCTATCTACAGCTCAGGGGTACACAGGGTATTCTGAGAATAACAGGTTTTACTAAATAACTAAAGATGGGAGCAAAGGATGCATTAAGTACCTCAGCCTTGTCTTCATCCTTTGTCTTATACTTCCCCCTACAAACAGTAAAAGACTGGAGATAGATTCTCCTTAGCCCTCCTTTTGCTTCTGATATAGTTTTAGAAATATTTTTTATTATATTTTATGGCAGTAGCCAGAATAAATTTTACTTGGGTTTTGGAACTTCTAATTTTCTCCCTGCATAACATTATGACAACCTTCTAGTCTTCCTGATATTGCCAGCCCTTTCTTCCATTGGTCATAAACTCTCTTTTATCCCCTGAATTCCAGACTAGTGTCTCTGTTCAGTCAGGCCCATTTCAGTCAGGCTCATCTTTCAGCACATGGGGGCAATTTGCTCCTGAACCTTTAAGATTTTGTCCTTGAAGAACATCCAGCCTTCCTGGACCCCACTGCCCTTCAGGACTGCCTCCCAAGGGTCTCTGTCAAATGTACTCCTGAACAGGCCAAAGTCTGCCCTCTGTAAGTCTAAGGCTGCAGTTCTGCTGACCTATCTCCTTACTTCTCTGATAATTGAAAAGTCTATCATTACATGAACACTGTGCCCAAAAAGGTCTTCAGCCACCACATCACCCACATAGCAGCCAACCAGCTCCTGGCTTGATTATATTAGGCACTTTATAAACATTCAATTAGAGGCAGTCCCTGCCCCAAAGATACACCACTTTCAAATACCTGTTTATATTTTTAAAATCTGGTAATTATTTTATGTGTACTACCATCACTACAATCCATTCTCCCGCAAGAATAAAAGGAAGGAAATATTAATGCAGTATATGAAAAAAGTACATTCCAATACATTGGAAAATATCAGTGGCATCTACAGGTTAACATAAATTGAAGAAAGTATCCTTACACAGGATTAAAGCAGACCATTTAGGAATCTTGGTACACTACAGCTACATAGCCCAAATGAAGGAAAGACGCATAATATTCAAAGTATTCCATTTTGGAAAACATTCTAGGCTGTTGCCTCTTGGCCTAGAAGTCTGCTGGATCTGTTATTGTGAAGACATAGATCTTCACAATAACTGCAAAGTGGACAACTGGTTTGCTTCTCAGTTAAAGATACCTTTCTGCTCCCTGAAGGATTTTGAGAGGACTTTCCTCCCTCATCAGTACATATTTTCCTTTGGTCCTTTAACTACTGTAACATTCTCTTAAGCAGCAAAAAACTCCAACCCAATAAATTGACTCTGTTGCTTGGTAGTTTTGATGTTTTCTACTTTAATGGTATGAACTAAAGATTTTGCTTCTGATTTAGGATACACTTTTCCAAGAAATCCTCCAGCTTAAATAATAGCTCAATTGAAGTATATAATGAAGTATTTTTCATTCAAACATACATTATTTCGTACTGCTATAGCTTTTCCAAACAAATATTTTCTGAAGTTCATAATAACTTTCTTAATTAAAGAAAATTTTACAATGATATCAGCTTAATATCTGATTTAAAAGCTCAGTATCTGAGTTTGTTCTATTTCTACCATTCAAAGCCAAAGTAAGAGATAGTTATGAAATTTGAAAGCACATTCAAAACACCATAGTGCTGTTTATTAAAGCTTGTTACCAATGAGGCAATATAAGATACCAATTCATTGACTTCAGCGAAGACTTTAATGCTGTCTAGCCTCTGTTCTAGGTCAGCCTTCACAAGGCATCAATGTTAATTCACTATATTTTTAATTTCAGACAAATTTTATTGGTAATTCATGTAAACTGATGTAAATTTAGTGTTTCTTTTGTTAATTTCCATTAAGAGCAAAAACTTTCCTTAAGATATATGCCACTTGTTTGCTTATCCATTTAGCTAGATGTTTACATATAAAGCAATAGAAATAATTATTTTAAAACATTCAAATCTTTTTCTTGAGTAACTCCTTACCTCTCAAAGACCTAGAAATTATATAAGTTGATATCTCTTATGCGGCAGTTTGGAAAATCCTATCTCAGTCCCAGACATTGTCTATAATAGAAGCCACAGTTCTCATCTGACAGATAAAATGGATAGATTCTATAAGTCAGGAAACATGACAGCATTTCTCCCAATGCACAGTGGATCTTTAGCATGACACAATGAAGTTCCACTGAAGAGAAGAGAGCAAATCAGAACATTTTCTGCCAGATAGCACATTGATATCCTGAGCTTTACAGAATGGAATCAGTTTGCCTAAACTTCTGTCTCTTCTCAACTACTGACTCTAGATTTTGGTCGTTATATTAAAAGTTGTGTTGAAAATGTAATTCTTCTCTTCAACTTCTTTTTCAAATACCATATGAATCTATGCTTAGAAGTGCACCAACATTTCCGTTTTCCATTTAGGTCTTGCAACCAAACATTAAAACCAATTTATTTTGCATTCATATCTCTCACTGAATTGGTAAATGAGGCAACAGTTTAAGACAACTCTTTGCCTGAAGCAGAACAAGATACCATCCTGTGAGGTAAAAAGCACTCAGGATGAAAATGCTTGACTGTTGTGATCTACTT